CCAAGCTTAAAGTCAGAGGCTCTTCTGAGCATGGGAGCTTTCTTGCAGAGCTCTGAATCCTTACACGTTTGGTGGGATGAGACGTTTGTGGAGAGGCAGGGTGGCTCCAGACTGGTCTAAAGTTGACATAAAAATCCTCGGAAGGTGGTTACAGGTTGTCCTTCGATATCCGGTGATCTTAAACCGCAACCATGTCTAAGCCTTGCGATGCAGGTTGGCCAAAACGGGAAGCTAAGTAGAGCCATTGCGAACGTGAGTACTATGTCTCTAGAGGCTCCTAGCCACCGGGGTTTGAGGCCCAGATCCTTAAGCAGTCTGGCGGAAGCAGCTCAATGCTTCAAGCCTTTGTTTCAGTCTCAACCGCGTAACTATTTCAATTGTGACTCAATGTTTTCATAAACAGGAATCCACAGTCAGAGGTTTAACAATCCTAAACCCGAAACCCTAAACCCTAAAACCCTAAACCCTAAACCCTACCTATAGTCTCCGTTGTAGTTCTTTTTCTGGGGATACCTTATAAATTCCTTGATAGAAAATTGGTTAATCCAAAAACGAACTACAATGGAGATTATAGGTAAGCCTTATAAACTGTAAAACCTAAACCCCAAACCCAAACCCCTAAACTGTAAACCCGAATCCCGAAACGTCTCGCAAAACTCCAACCCAGAGGCTCTGGTGCGTCTTTGAGGTGGGTAGTTACCGTTATAGGAGCCTTATAGAAGGTCTATGTACCTTATAGAAGCCTTATAGAAGCCCTGTCAACCCAGAGGCTGTGGTGCGTCTTTGAAGTCGGAGCCTTCCTCGGAAGCTGCAAAGTCTCAGAGTCTTGGATGTTCACGGGCTTCGGGTTCAGGTGATTAGGGTCAAGGGTTCATGGGATTAAGGTTTAGGGTTTAGGGTTCAGGGGAACAGGGTTTAGGGTTTAGGGTTCAAGGGAATGGGGTTTAGGGTTTAGGGTTCAGGGGATTCAGGTTTAGAGTTTAGGGTTCAGGGGATTAGGGTTTAGAGTTTAGGGTTTATAGGGTTCAAGGGATGTTCAGTGTTATACGTTGTGTTGTTGTTTTCTGGGTTTCTACAGTACTGTATCTGGCCATAAACGTGCTTACGTGTTTTGTTTCCGGGTTTCTATATCAAGCATACACGCTTTAGGTTTTTTTTACTATATATATATAGCATATCTAAGCATCTACATGTTTTCCTTTTTGTTTCTGGGTTCTGCTACAACGTATCTAATAAGTATGTATTTGTTCATAGTTCTTGGACATTTTCAGGTGGGTAGCTACCGTTATAGGAGCCTTATAGAAGGTCTATATACTATATAGACCTTCTAGAAGCCTTCTAGAAGCCCTATGTGGTCACACGTATGTAAAAGGCCACG